TTTGTAAAATGTTCCTTTGCTTTTTTTAAAGGAAGTCTGGCATCTTATAAAATAGCAGTGTCTTGAAATATCTTTATTTTTAGTTATTATTTTCAGTTAACTTCAGAGGCCTATTTTCTGAGGACATCTATATGAAGTCCAGAGGAATTTGCAGAAATGACAATATTGATTGATTTGGTGTAATCAAGCTCCATGTTGACTCTTGCCAATCATTGCTAGATTTTATTCAGGATTTTCTGTTCTCCAAGCTGGTCCTTCCAGTTTTCCAATGCGGTACCTATCACTGCTGTAATTGAATCCATCCACCTTACATCTGGTCATCCTTTATTTCTTTCTGCCTTTCCCTGCATTGTAATTTCTTCAGAGAAGTAGTTCTTCACATGATATGAAAACAATACGAATAGGGCAGAAATCTGCTTTCAGCAGGTTAGTTTGAAAGTTAAAAGTTTCTTCAAAATTAAGTGAAGGGAGCAGGGAATCTCTGGGATGTCATGTTGTCGTTGTGGCCATGATGTTTGGGAATTGCAGAGGAACATATAGTGGACTGAGTTGGCACTTTGCTATTTCTGTAGAAAGTATGCATATAAGATGGATTTTTGTTTTGTTTTGTAAATTGTTGGAAGATGATTGAAAAAATGTTTCCTGCAAATTAAATAAGGCTTAGAAGCTTAATATTTGAAAAACTGATACACCTAGTGCCATTCAGCTCTTGTGTTAAAATTGGCTGGGGAGCCCCTGCTATTTCCTGCAGGTTGGTTTAGCTCAGGGATCACCAAAGTTGGAAATTTTAAGACATATGTGAACTTCCACTGGCTGAGGAATTCTGGGAATTGAAGTCTACAAGTCTTAAAATTGCCAAGTTTGGAGACCCCTAGTTTAACTCACAGAGTGGTTGTTGGAACCTCTCAATAGTATCGCACTTACTATGGAATTGATTCTCAAGGAACCCCCCCATCTTCCCCATTCCCAGCTGCCCCCCATCTTTTTTTAGGCAGCAGTGGAGAACATGTCTGCTTACCTCAGCATTAACAGGATAACAAATATCCCAAAATTAGACTTCCAGATTTATATTGTTTTTTATTGAAATATTTTTACGATTGTTCTTAAAGATTGTTGATTTTATTGTTATGTCTAGCCACAATTTTATTCCTTTATTCCTTTGCTAACAGAAACATGTTCCTCCATGAAGATGAGATATATAAAGAATAAAATGCTAATCATGTAAATCTGTCAAAAAAAATTGAATATGTCTTTGCTGTAGTACTACTACATTTAATTATCTTTTGATCCCTTCTCCAATTTGGTAATGAATTCCCTCCACACACAGGCTTGAACACTGCCATTTGGACAGATAACTAAAGCCTGATGAAATTACCTTTTCTGCTGTAAAAATGGGAACACATACATAATCTTTACTCAACCAATTGATCATTCCATGGGTGTATCTAGCTTAATACTAAATTCTTCTTTTTATATAAGAGCTGAAAAAGATGAAAACCAGAGCAGCTGCATTAGACTTGGATCATTAGTGACAATAGATAAGTAGTGCAAATTGTTCATGGTTAAGCTCTTAGATAACTTTATATCTTTTCCTAATCTCTACTATAAAATCTCATATCAATATTTGAAGTAAGAAGCTAACTTATAAAAAGGTTTAAAGTTTTGTTTAACGTAAGATATCATGCAGTGTTTTAGTCTTCCAAGGGGGAAATGGTCACTGAAAATTTCTTACCTGACAAAACTATCTAAATTTACTGTTAGGAAAGATGTCATAATTTCTAACTTAATTTTTTTCTTCAGATTTCCATTCCTTCAGTTTTCATTTTAAAATGACAGTTACACTTGCTAATTATAAAATGGTGAGAGAAAATATGTTTTTCAGAAAGAAACCACATTTGATCATCTTTCAGATGGATATTATCCATTCCCAACTGAGTGATCTATTCTCTTAAAGACAAAAAACATGATAGAGTCTGTTTTATGGCTTTCAAACAAAAAATAAAGACCCGTCTTATTTATATGTGAATAATATATTAATTCTGAGTTGTGAAAATTCAAACAGTTCTTAAGAATTTTGTGAGGGGAGGGGGATAACCTAGAATAGGGATGTCAAACTTGCAATGTCACGTGACGTGTTGCAACCTAGTATGACTTTTTTTCCATTGCTGGCAATGGGGCGGGGGCGGTTTTGGCATGACGCATCCGGCCCACGGGCTGGCAGTTTGATACCCCTGATCTACAAAAATGATTTCCTGTATCCTAATTTGATGTCCTTGACTTTTCTACTAATCTCTTAGAGCTTAAAATCTTCAGTAGGGTAGATGTAACAAAATTTCAGTTTTATCATAGGAGTCCTAATTTAACCTTATCTAGCTTAATTTAATCACATTTTATGTAGATGGAAAAGTTAGACCCTGATAAAGTAATTGAGTTTTGCTTTCTCATTGCCATTTAAAAATATCAGAAGAAATCACCCTTATTCCTATCTTGAAATATCAACTTTGTCATGGCGTGTGTGTGTGTGTTTGTGTGTGTGCGTGTGAGAGAGAGAGAGAGAGAGTTCTGATACATTTTAGATAGATAGACAGACAGATAGATAGATTTAATTTCTGCAGTTACCAGAAGAACTGTTATTCCCAGTTGAATGAACTAAATTACTAAATAGTGAAGATTGTTCCCTTAATCTGAACTTCATACCATGGAGATAATTCATATTTAAATTAAAGTTCCCCTTATTTTCTAAAGGAGTCCTATTTGAATAAGAAAATCCTTTTAATGAAAGCATCCCTCAGAGCATAAAGGCTTGATAACATACTACATTGTTTAGGTGTGGTGAATTGAAAAACGATTCTATAAATTGAAAAAACGATTCTATATATATTCATCCTCTTGCCATTTATCTGTGGCAGACTGGATTCATCATCTCTTCTGTCTGAATAAGAAACAAAGAGCAGTGTTAATCATTGATTAAATGTAGTGTTTGGGGGATAGGATTTCAATATCCTCCTGTTCTCTTTAAAAATATGTAATGCTTGGTCTTCATCTTCATTAGAATAAATTCCTTTTGGGAGAAGCACAAGTACAGGACTATTTTGTGCCAGTTGAATACTGCTCTTGTACATTATTGACAGAATTAAGCTGATCCTCCCTCAGATCTATCAGGCTCGGTTTTATCTTGCAAACACACCGGAGTATGGCTTATTGCTCTCAGCTAACAGTTGTAGACCAGTCTATTATGGGGTGAGGCTTTCATTATAGCTGAAATACAATTAATCTCGGCTAGGCAGTGCTTATAGAGAAGGGATAATAAATGATTTCTATTTTTAATGTTCTCAGAGAATTGTTTTATGTCCCAGTTATTTTGGTGGGAGATGGAATTTGCAATAAAGTAAAGCTTTCCTATCTTTATCTGGCAAATAAGATAGCTTGCAATGGCAAAGAATGTTTTTTATTGCTGCAGCAGATGCAAGCAAGAGAATGTCAGGATTGCTATAAAAAAAGTCACACAATTTTGCAGCCTTCTGATAAGGCTGCTTCAGCCTCAGATTCTTTCGTTTTTTCCTCTGTTCTGGTTAAGACAAAAGCAGGAAGCAGGGGAGCTTCCATGACCTTGCCTTTCCCTTTCAGCCACTTAACTTCATTTGCAACATCAGAAGATGGTGAATCGCTGTTTACCTTGGGGCTCAAAGAAGTCAGGCTTATCTAGATAGGTGGTCTTCATCCCAAACGTCTAAAAGTTAACTTTGACTGCATAGATACATCTTTGTTTTTCCTTGGCCACCATGTGGAAGCAATTTATCTTTACATTCTCTGTGATTTTTTTTAAAAAACAAGGCTGGGATTTGCTTGCGCTCTCCCATTCAAATTCTCTACTTAGTTTTCCTAGGAATCTGGAAAGACTGTTAGGTGCAGCCACCTGCTCTGATCCCAGGAGATTAGAAGAAAGAAGTCGCAATATCTATCTATCTATCTATCTATCTATCTATCTATCTATCTATCTATCTATCTATCTATCTATCTATCTATCTATCTATCTATCTATCTATCTATCATCACAAGGCCCTAGAAAAACAATGTTTTCAACATGTTTTTGCTTTTCCTTTACCCTAGAGCAGGGGTAGGCAACCTTGGCTCTTTTATGACTTGTGGACTTCAACTCCCAGAATTCTGGGAGTTGAAGTCCACAAGTCATAAAAGAGCCAAGGTTGCCTACCCCTGCCCTAGAGAATCAACCCTTGTTGCAGTAAATTATACCAAACCTTCAATGCCTAAGGCTATAGCTCCCATCATTCTCGACTGATAATTTAATGGCTGAAGAAAGTGTGAGGCCTGCCATCAGTGGGAGCGAAGATTTCCCATTTAATTGATAGATACTAATTTGTACAGTGACCTAAGTCCCAGTCCCAGAAAAGGGATGAATATTCTCAGGACAGGGTGAATATATTTTTCTTCTTGACAAAATAATCAATAGGGAAGAATCAACCCTGAGATTCTCCGAATCCTGTGGAAATCTTTTGATGGAAGTTGTGTGCTTTGATGCACAACCATAGCCATTGGATCCTAGTGCTTTTTTAACATGACTTCTTGTTCTTTATTGTTCTCTGAATGGATGGCTTTGGATTCTTAGAAAACTTGGCTTTTGTGAGACAGCCTTTGTTGGGAGGACAAATGTTGTCTATTTCCCTCCCTCCACAACTTCAGACTTTGCACAAATGATATTCCGGATCATGGTTTATGTAACTGCTTGCACTGCAATATTTCACGAAGGCTGTTTTCAGTTTGAGTTGCATTATACATTTAATTTTTCCACATCATCCTCTCGCCCTATTGTCATAACCTTATGATTTATCAGTGATCTAATTGTATAAGTTACCGCCTCAGTTTATTTAATGACAGTTTTTTTAATGACAGTTTCCTTAAACTTTCCAAATAATCCTGTCTTCCTCTCATGTTTGGAAGTCCATTTTGATTTTCATTTATTTATAAACATTGTTTTTCAGATTTTGACTTGAACTCTTTCTGGCACTGGAACAAGTTTGCAGATTATGTGCAGTGCGTTCTGGCTTTCACTGGGGTAACAGGATGCGTCACTTACCTTTCCCTTGACTCCAGTATCTTTGTTGAAACCCTGGGTTTCCTTGCTGTTTTCATTGAAGCCATGGTGGGTATCCCGCAGCTCTACCGTAATTATCAGAATAGGTCAACTGAAGGAATGAGGTAAGATTGTATGCATGTACCATAATTTCTGCATTCTTGAAATGTGGTTGTTTTCTTTGCATAAGGGACAGCCCCAGAATTTCTTCAATTAAAAACAGCAACATAAAAATACCATATATGCTTATAAACCCCTCTGCTGCTAAGCAAACTGTCAAATTTGTAGCCTAGATACCCTGAAAATTGTGACGTGCAGATAAGCTGACCCTCAACATTTTCCTTTTTTATTATTTTTTATAACTAAATTAGTCATGGGTGATGCACTTTTTGTGGTATTTTGGTTCAAAATTCAAGGGTCAGCTTAACCCTGGGTTGGTTTATTTGCAAGTATTTTTGGATACTTTAAAAGAGCATTACCACATACTTGCCCATCCATAGATAAAGCAATTCCAATTTCCAATTGCTATAATTTGGAACCTAAAATCCTTGCCTTATCCACAAGTATATATGGTATGTCCATAATTCTGCCTTAGCTCTAATACTGTGGGAATATTGATGGTAGAAAATTGTAAAAAGCTCCTTTTACAAAGCAAAAATTGCAAGACTGAAATTGGGAGGCAAGGAAGATTCAGAAAAATGTAATATTAGAACAGTGTGTGTGTGTGTGTGTGTGTGTGTGTGTGTGTGTGTGTGTGTGTTGGTGTAATTATATGTAGCTTATACAACCTTGAAAAAAATCCCCAAACTAGGAAATATACTGTCTTGTTTGTTCTACAAACTTGAATGTAATGATGCATCACAATCTCCTGAGCTTTTTTCCCCCCTTCATTTTTAAATAAGCATTGTTTGATTTATTGGCTTATACTCTAGGCTGGGGAATCCATATATAGACTGATTGACACATTATAAAAATTATGACTTTGCGCTGCACATTTTGAAAAAAAAAAAATAGAGGAAAGCCACTTCAGATTTCATGTGAATGCACTAATTCTCTGTTGTTCATTTAATTATGCCAAGTAGTTTCAGAGAGGGCTGTATTTATCCAAGTTCCAAAGCACCTCTGAATAACTTTCAAAGTATAGGTAGCCTTAATATGCTAACAAATATTATCATTAGGTTGGTTGAATACATTTTACCCTTGTTGTTGTTTAGTCGCTAAGTCGTATCATGACCCCATGGACCATAGCACTCCAGATTCTCCTCTACCTTTTTATGCCCTAGAATTCAGGAGTAGGCAACCTTGGCTCTTTTATGACTCGTGGACTTCAACTTCCAGAATTCCTGAGCCAGCCATGCTGGCTCAGGAATTCTGGGAGTTGAAGTCCACGAGTCATAAAAGAGCCAAGGTTGCCTACCCCTGCGCCTAGATTTAGCATATACAGATAGTCATTGACTTATGCCCGTAGTGGAGCTTGCCTTTAATGAATTCACCATAGCTAGTGGTCTGTCTTTCCAAGAGTTACTTCTGCTCTTGGTGTCATAAAATGCTGGTAAATTCCATTTTCAAAGTCAAGTTGCAATTTAGTACAATCTCCTACTGAATGCACGCCCTGCTTGTTATGGCCATTGCCCTTGATATATGCTGGGTATGCATTGCTTTCTTACAACTGGTAGCTTCTAAAAAAAGCCAAATTGACCTATGTCTCTATTTTAACTTTCTGACTTTTTTTTTTGAGGCTGTAAGGTGTGTTACCCTTGTATGCACAGAAGTGCTGTATAATTGTCTGCTGCAAATAGAACTGGATTCACTTCTAAGAAGAATTTCATTGAAAGCGCTCTCTTTTTTTCAGGCTCTCATTTGGAACCATTTTTTTTCCTCCCATTTCGATTTTTCCAATCAGAGAAAAACTTTTGAAGTGATGCTCTGGGGCTCAGCTCTCTTTCCTCCCTCATGGATGGATGCCTGAGGCACTCTATGAATTTGGCAGAGCTCTTAGTTCTGAGTGAGCTGCACAATTTCTTTCTGAACGCTTGTTTTTAATCTACTTAGCATCTGGGAGCAGTAAAGTCTTTTACTGTCAGCCCTCAGTCTTACTGTATTGATGCCAGGCCTGCTTGCCCTCTGCAATCCTATCTTAATTACGCCTTTCATGAATTCCGTTCTTTGTTACCTTATGCTTTCTCTTTCTTAATGATATATTGGGAACTGAATTAATGCAATTTTTTTCCTCCAGATCTGCTGTTATTTAAAAGAAAGGTAGAGTTCTGCCTGTACTAGCTTGTTTTTTTTTAAATAGCAGTGCAATATAAGGATACAAAATTTCTATTCTAAATGGCATGCCTTCTAGAATTAAGAATGATATGTATACAGTGTATCAGTTGTAGAGCATTGCCGCATCAGCCTTTTTGTAGTGGAGAGTTCTATTTAAAATCTATTTATCTATATATAAATAAAAATGTAAATGTTCGTTTGTTCAAAATCTTAAATCTCCGAAAGTTCTTCACCGATTGCTTTGAAATTTTGACACAACGTTGCATTCAAATACGCGCATGTTTTATATACCTACTATTATATAGATGTCACACCTGTGACAGGTAAAAACATTTAACCTGTCTGAGCCACAGCAACGTGTGGCCGGGTACAGCTAGTTTAAAATAAATGTCATCAACCCTAGTAGGGTGGAGAGAGTTTTCTTTAGCAATCCCATTAAATAGGGTTCATTGTTTACTTCAAAAATCTCTGGAGTTTATTTTATCTTCCTTTTCCCCATTAAGTTGAACCCTCATCTATTTCGAAGGAATGTGGAATTGACCTTGATGAAGTGATGGATGAGCCGTTAAGGGAGGAAAAACACCAGAGAAAGTTCTTTCGAGGAAGAGATCCAAAATAACCCTGCCTTGATTCTGCTTAGTTTAAGAGAGGGGAGAGGGAAATGCTAGCAATCTTTCACAATTCTCTTACTCACCCCTACAACAATAAAGTAGGGTTCCTTTAATCCTGGTGGTATCTGTTTCCTGACTTGGCTACCTTAAAGGGTTGACATCTGTGGACCACAACAGTTCTTACTTTTATCAGTTCGGGACAAAGCCGCAATGTATGTTGACGGTTGGGTTAGACCAGGGGTGTCAAACTCGCAACGTCACGTGACATGTTGCGACGTATTGTGACTTTTTTTCCATTGTTGGCAATGGGGTGGGTGCGGTTTCGCCATGATACATGCAGCCTGTATCACCCCTGGGTTAGACTGTTGGGACTTTCTCTCCACCTCACCTACCTTACAGGATTATTCTGTTAATAGCATTCTTAAAGAGTTTAGAAAAGAATATTCCCAAATGCTAGGAATTTGATAAAAGGATAACATAAGGAATTTTTTTTAAAAAAAAATACAATTAGTGATTGACTATAGCAAGAATTTAAACCATAAGAGCTTGGTATTTTGCTGAGAATTTTCCACCGTATGTTAATTCCCTTTTTCACAGCTGCCAGAGAATATATGACACTTATGATAGAAGCATACATTTGTGAAATGTGTTACAAATAGTAATGGCATGGCCATTGTTTTCTGTGGTATAGAACTATAGATCAAAGAAGCTAGGTAGGTCAACTCAAATATAACATCTTTAAAATAATTCATACTTTTTTTTCTGAAGATATGTTAAGCAAAACAGGTTTTGCTATACACTGATAATAAACTGTGGTCATTCAACTCTTTGGCTACTAAATGCTCAATCTCTCAAAATGACACATTAGCAACATCAAAGAAATAATTACTTAAGTTCTTTCTGGTGAAGAGTCTAGTTTGTCAGCCATCATTTCTTACTATAAAAGAACATTTAATTTAAATGAGAGTTAAATTTTGAATTAATGAGGCCTATAGCATCTGATTTGTAGAATCTGGAAATAAGTATGTCATTTCACACTTCTTTGATGTTAACATTATTGCTGTTCAACCCTTTGGATTCAAAGGCAAAAAGTTTCTTTGGACTACCTTGGGGGAACACAGTAAATAAACACTGTACTCTTTTCCAAGATTGTGTAGCTGCTGTAGTTCTCATATTGTGATAGTCAGCATTTAAACTCCATTTCTCCCAAGGCTGAATGTCTCCTCTAACTTTATTTTACAGGAAACCCTACACCATTTCGGACAAATGGCTGTCCAGTCTCTTCTTAAAAAGCTCCAACACTGGAAGTTTTTAAGAAGAGACTGGACAGCCATTTGTCCGAAATTGTGTAGGGTTTCCTACCCGAGCAGGGGGTTGGACTCGATGACCTCCAAGGTCCCTTCCAACTTTATTATTATTATTATTATTATTATTATTATTATTATTATTATTATTATTATTATTATTATTATTATTATTATTATTATTACTACTACTACTACTACTACTACTACTACTACTACTACTACTACTACTACTACTACTACTACTACTACTACTACTACTACTTCCCCCTTCCTGTGTTTTCTGTAATCAATATATGCTCATCAGCTTCCACAATT